TTGATGAGAGGGAAGCGGAGGCGGCAGCGGAGGCGGAAGTGGCAGCGGCAGCAGCATCGTCAGCGGAAGTGGAAGTGGAAGTGGAAGCTGAGTCGGCTGTGCAAGTGTCAGGTGAATCATTGGGGCAAGTTGAATGGGAAGCAGAAAGTGAAGCGGCAGCACAGGTTGAGTGGGAAGGTGTGTCTGTCATCGCGCCAGTGGGATTCGAGTCTGAGGCGCTTTCAGAGACTGCAGGGGAAGGCGAATCTGAGCGATTGGCTGAGCGTGTGAGTGAGATGGAGACGGAATATGCTGAATTAGTTGGTGAAGGCGTAGTTGATGAGAGGGAAGCGGAGGCGGCAGCGGAGGCGGAAGTGGCAGCGGCAGCAGCATCGTCAGCGGAAGTGGAAGTGGAAGTGGAAGCTGAGTCGGCTGTGCAAGTGTCAGGTGAATCATTGGGGCAAGTTGAATGGGAAGCAGAAAGTGAAGCGGCAGCACAGGTTGAGTGGGAAGGTGTGTCTGTCATCGCGCCAGTGGGATTCGAGTCTGAGGCGCTTTCAGAGACTGCAGGGGAAGGCGAATCTGAGCGATTGGCTGAGCGTGTGAGTGAGATGGAGACGGAATATGCTGAATTAGTTGGTGAAGGCGTAGTTGATGAGAGGGAAGCGGAGGCGGCAGCGGAGGCGGAAGTGGCAGCGGCAGCAGCATCGTCAGCGGAAGTGGAAGTGGAAGTGGAAGCTGAGTCGGCTGTGCAAGTGTCAGGTGAATCATTGGGGCAAGTTGAATGGGAAGCAGAAAGTGAAGCGGCAGCACAGGTTGAGTGGGAAGGTGTGTCTGTCATCGCGCCAGTGGGATTCGAGTCTGAGGCGCTTTCAGAGACTGCAGGGGAAGGCGAATCTGAGCGATTGGCTGAGCGTGTGAGTGAGATGGAGACGGAATATGCTGAATTAGTTGGTGAAGGCGTAGTTGATGAGAGGGAAGCGGAGGCGGCAGCGGAGGCGGAAGTGGCAGCGGCAGCAGCATCGTCAGCGGAAGTGGAAGTGGAAGTGGAAGCTGAGTCGGCTGTGCAAGTGTCAGGTGAATCATTGGGGCAAGTTGAATGGGAAGCAGAAAGTGAAGCGGCAGCACAGGTTGAGTGGGAAGGTGTGTCTGTCATCGCGCCAGTGGGATTCGAGTCTGAGGCGCTTTCAGAGACTGCAGGGGAAGGCGAATCTGAGCGATTGGCTGAGCGTGTGAGTGAGATGGAGACGGAATATGCTGAATTAGTTGGTGAAGGCGTAGTTGATGAGAGGGAAGCGGAGGCGGCAGCGGAGGCGGAAGTGGCAGCGGCAGCAGCATCGTCAGCGGAAGTGGAAGTGGAAGTGGAAGCTGAGTCGGCTGTGCAAGTGTCAGGTGAATCATTGGGGCAAGTTGAATGGGAAGCAGAAAGTGAAGCGGCAGCACAGGTTGAGTGGGAAGGTGTGTCTGTCATCGCGCCAGTGGGATTCGAGTCTGAGGCGCTTTCAGAGACTGCAGGGGAAGGCGAATCTGAGCGATTGGCTGAGCGTGTGAGTGAGATGGAGACGGAATATGCTGAATTAGTTGGTGAAGGCGTAGTTGATGAGAGGGAAGCGGAGGCGGCAGCGGAGGCGGAAGTGGCAGCGGCAGCAGCATCGTCAGCGGAAGTGGAAGTGGAAGTGGAAGCTGAGTCGGCTGTGCAAGTGTCAGGTGAATCATTGGGGCAAGTTGAATGGGAAGCAGAAAGTGAAGCGGCAGCACAGGTTGAGTGGGAAGGTGTGTCTGTCATCGCGCCAGTGGGATTCGAGTCTGAGGCGCTTTCAGAGACTGCAGGGGAAGGCGAATCTGAGCGATTGGCTGAGCGTGTGAGTGAGATGGAGACGGAATATGCTGAATTAGTTGGTGAAGGCGTAGTTGATGAGAGGGAAGCGGAGGCGGCAGCGGAGGCGGAAGTGGCAGCGGCAGCAGCATCGTCAGCGGAAGTGGAAGTGGAAGTGGAAGCTGAGTCGGCTGTGCAAGTGTCAGGTGAATCATTGGGGCAAGTTGAATGGGAAGCAGAAAGTGAAGCGGCAGCACAGGTTGAGTGGGAAGGTGTGTCTGTCATCGCGCCAGTGGGATTCGAGTCTGAGGCGCTTTCAGAGACTGCAGGGGAAGGCGAATCTGAGCGATTGGCTGAGCGTGTGAGTGAGATGGAGACGGAATATGCTGAATTAGTTGGTGAAGGCGTAGTTGATGAGAGGGAAGCGGAGGCGGCAGCGGAGGCGGAAGTGGCAGCGGCAGCAGCATCGTCAGCGGAAGTGGAAGTGGAAGTGGAAGCTGAGTCGGCTGTGCAAGTGTCAGGTGAATCATTGGGGCAAGTTGAATGGGAAGCAGAAAGTGAAGCGGCAGCACAGGTTGAGTGGGAAGGTGTGTCTGTCATCGCGCCAGTGGGATTCGAGTCTGAGGCGCTTTCAGAGACTGCAGGGGAAGGCGAATCTGAGCGATTGGCTGAGCGTGTGAGTGAGATGGAGACGGAATATGCTGAATTAGTTGGTGAAGGCGTAGTTGATGAGAGGGAAGCGGAGGCGGCAGCGGAGGCGGAAGTGGCAGCGGCAGCAGCATCGTCAGCGGAAGTGGAAGTGGAAGTGGAAGCTGAGTCGGCTGTGCAAGTGTCAGGTGAATCATTGGGGCAAGTTGAATGGGAAGCAGAAAGTGAAGCGGCAGCACAGGTTGAGTGGGAAGGTGTGTCTGTCATCGCGCCAGTGGGATTCGAGTCTGAGGCGCTTTCAGAGACTGCAGGGGAAGGCGAATCTGAGCGATTGGCTGAGCGTGTGAGTGAGATGGAGACGGAATATGCTGAATTAGTTGGTGAAGGCGTAGTTGATGAGAGGGAAGCGGAGGCGGCAGCGGAGGCGGAAGTGGCAGCGGCAGCAGCATCGTCAGCGGAAGTGGAAGTGGAAGTGGAAGCTGAGTCGGCTGTGCAAGTGTCAGGTGAATCATTGGGGCAAGTTGAATGGGAAGCAGAAAGTGAAGCGGCAGCACAGGTTGAGTGGGAAGGTGTGTCTGTCATCGCGCCAGTGGGATTCGAGTCTGAGGCGCTTTCAGAGACTGCAGGGGAAGGCGAATCTGAGCGATTGGCTGAGCGTGTGAGTGAGATGGAGACGGAATATGCTGAATTAGTTGGTGAAGGCGTAGTTGATGAGAGGGAAGCGGAGGCGGCAGCGGAGGCGGAAGTGGCAGCGGCAGCAGCATCGTCAGCGGAAGTGGAAGTGGAAGTGGAAGCTGAGTCGGCTGTGCAAGTGTCAGGTGAATCATTGGGGCAAGTTGAATGGGAAGCAGAAAGTGAAGCGGCAGCACAGGTTGAGTGGGAAGGTGTGTCTGTCATCGCGCCAGTGGGATTCGAGTCTGAGGCGCTTTCAGAGACTGCAGGGGAAGGCGAATCTGAGCGATTGGCTGAGCGTGTGAGTGAGATGGAGACGGAATATGCTGAATTAGTTGGTGAAGGCGTAGTTGATGAGAGGGAAGCGGAGGCGGCAGCGGAGGCGGAAGTGGCAGCGGCAGCAGCATCGTCAGCGGAAGTGGAAGTGGAAGTGGAAGCTGAGTCGGCTGTGCAAGTGTCAGGTGAATCATTGGGGCAAGTTGAATGGGAAGCAGAAAGTGAAGCGGCAGCACAGGTTGAGTGGGAAGGTGTGTCTGTCATCGCGCCAGTGGGATTCGAGTCTGAGGCGCTTTCAGAGACTGCAGGGGAAGGCGAATCTGAGCGATTGGCTGAGCGTGTGAGTGAGATGGAGACGGAATATGCTGAATTAGTTGGTGAAGGCGTAGTTGATGAGAGGGAAGCGGAGGCGGCAGCGGAGGCGGAAGTGGCAGCGGCAGCAGCATCGTCAGCGGAAGTGGAAGTGGAAGTGGAAGCTGAGTCGGCTGTGCAAGTGTCAGGTGAATCATTGGGGCAAGTTGAATGGGAAGCAGAAAGTGAAGCGGCAGCACAGGTTGAGTGGGAAGGTGTGTCTGTCATCGCGCCAGTGGGATTCGAGTCTGAGGCGCTTTCAGAGACTGCAGGGGAAGGCGAATCTGAGCGATTGGCTGAGCGTGTGAGTGAGATGGAGACGGAATATGCTGAATTAGTTGGTGAAGGCGTAGTTGATGAGAGGGAAGCGGAGGCGGCAGCGGAGGCGGAAGTGGCAGCGGCAGCAGCATCGTCAGCGGAAGTGGAAGTGGAAGTGGAAGCTGAGTCGGCTGTGCAAGTGTCAGGTGAATCATTGGGGCAAGTTGAATGGGAAGCAGAAAGTGAAGCGGCAGCACAGGTTGAGTGGGAAGGTGTGTCTGTCATCGCGCCAGTGGGATTCGAGTCTGAGGCGCTTTCAGAGACTGCAGGGGAAGGCGAATCTGAGCGATTGGCTGAGCGTGTGAGTGAGATGGAGACGGAATATGCTGAATTAGTTGGTGAAGGCGTAGTTGATGAGAGGGAAGCGGAGGCGGCAGCGGAGGCGGAAGTGGCAGCGGCAGCAGCATCGTCAGCGGAAGTGGAAGTGGAAGTGGAAGCTGAGTCGGCTGTGCAAGTGTCAGGTGAATCATTGGGGCAAGTTGAATGGGAAGCAGAAAGTGAAGCGGCAGCACAGGTTGAGTGGGAAGGTGTGTCTGTCATCGCGCCAGTGGGATTCGAGTCTGAGGCGCTTTCAGAGACTGCAGGGGAAGGCGAATCTGAGCGATTGGCTGAGCGTGTGAGTGAGATGGAGACGGAATATGCTGAATTAGTTGGTGAAGGCGTAGTTGATGAGAGGGAAGCGGAGGCGGCAGCGGAGGCGGAAGTGGCAGCGGCAGCAGCATCGTCAGCGGAAGTGGAAGTGGAAGTGGAAGCTGAGTCGGCTGTGCAAGTGTCAGGTGAATCATTGGGGCAAGTTGAATGGGAAGCAGAAAGTGAAGCGGCAGCACAGGTTGAGTGGGAAGGTGTGTCTGTCATCGCGCCAGTGGGATTCGAGTCTGAGGCGCTTTCAGAGACTGCAGGGGAAGGCGAATCTGAGCGATTGGCTGAGCGTGTGAGTGAGATGGAGACGGAATATGCTGAATTAGTTGGTGAAGGCGTAGTTGATGAGAGGGAAGCGGAGGCGGCAGCGGAGGCGGAAGTGGCAGCGGCAGCAGCATCGTCAGCGGAAGTGGAAGTGGAAGTGGAAGCTGAGTCGGCTGTGCAAGTGTCAGGTGAATCATTGGGGCAAGTTGAATGGGAAGCAGAAAGTGAAGCGGCAGCACAGGTTGAGTGGGAAGGTGTGTCTGTCATCGCGCCAGTGGGATTCGAGTCTGAGGCGCTTTCAGAGACTGCAGGGGAAGGCGAATCTGAGCGATTGGCTGAGCGTGTGAGTGAGATGGAGACGGAATATGCTGAATTAGTTGGTGAAGGCGTAGTTGATGAGAGGGAAGCGGAGGCGGCAGCGGAGGCGGAAGTGGCAGCGGCAGCAGCATCGTCAGCGGAAGTGGAAGTGGAAGTGGAAGCTGAGGCGGCTGTGCAAGTGTCAGGTGAATCATTGGGGCAAGTTGAATGGGAAGCAGAAAGTGAAGCGGCAGCACAGGTTGAGTGGGAAGGTGTGTCTGTCATCGCGCCAGTGGGATTCGAGTCTGAGGCGCTTTCAGAGACTGCAGGGGAAGGCGAATCTGAGCGATTGGCTGAGCGTGTGAGTGAGATGGAGACGGAATATGCTGAATTAGTTGGTGAAGGCGTAGTTGATGAGAGGGAAGCGGAGGCGGCAGCGGAGGCGGAAGTGGCAGCGGCAGCAGCATCGTCAGCGGAAGTGGAAGTGAAAGTGGAAGCTGAGTCGGCTGTGCAAGTGTCAGGTGAATCATTGGGGCAAGTTGAATGGGAAGCAGAAAGTGAAGCGGCAGCACAGGTTGAGTGGGAAGGTGTGTCTGTCATCGCGCCAGTGGGATTCGAGTCTGAGGCGCTTTCAGAGACTGCAGGGGAAGGCGAATCTGAGCGATTGGCTGAGCGTGTGAGTGAGATGGAGACGGAATATGCTGAATTAGTTGGTGAAGGCGTAGTTGATGAGAGGGAAGCGGAGGCGGCAGCGGAGGCGGAAGTGGCAGCGGCAGCAGCATCGTCAGCGGAAGTGGAAGTGGAAGTGGAAGCTGAGTCGGCTGTGCAAGTGTCAGGTGAATCATTGGGGCAAGTTGAATGGGAAGCAGAAAGTGAAGCGGCAGCACAGGTTGAGTGGGAAGGTGTGTCTGTCATCGCGCCAGTGGGATTCGAGTCTGAGGCGCTTTCAGAGACTGCAGGGGAAGGCGAATCTGAGCGATTGGCTGAGCGTGTGAGTGAGATGGAGACGGAATATGCTGAATTAGTTGGTGAAGGCGTAGTTGATGAGAGGGAAGCGGAGGCGGCAGCGGAGGCGGAAGTGGCAGCGGCAGCAGCATCGTCAGCGGAAGTGGAAGTGAAAGTGGAAGCTGAGTCGGCTGTGCAAGTGTCAGGTGAATCATTGGGGCAAGTTGAATGGGAAGCAGAAAGTGAAGCGGCAGCACAGGTTGAGTGGGAAGGTGTGTCTGTCATCGCGCCAGTGGGATTCGAGTCTGAGGCGCTTTCAGAGACTGCAGGGGAAGGCGAATCTGAGCGATTGGCTGAGCGTGTGAGTGAGATGGAGACGGAATATGCTGAATTAGTTGGTGAAGGCGTAGTTGACGAGAGGGAAGCGGAAGTGGAAGCGGAGGCGGAAGTGGCAGCGGCAGCAGCATCATCAGCGGAAGTGGAAGTGGAAGTGGAAGCTGAGTCGGCTGTGCAAGTGTCAGGTGAATCATTGGGGCAAGTTGAATGGGAAGCAGAAAGTGAAGCGGCAGCACAGGTTGAGTGGGAAGGTGTGTCTGTCATCGCGCCAGTGGGATTCGAGTCTGAGGCGCTTTCAGAGACTGCAGGGGAAGGCGAATCTGAGCGATTGGCTGAGCGTGTGAGTGAGATGGAGACGGAATATGCTGAATTAGTTGGTGAAGGCGTAGTTGATGAGAGGGAAGCGGAGGCGGCAGCGGAGGCGGAAGTGGCAGCGGCAGCAGCATCGTCAGCGGAAGTGGAAGTGGAAGTGGAAGCTGAGTCGGCTGTGCAAGTGTCAGGTGAATCATTGGGGCAAGTTGAATGGGAAGCAGAAAGTGAAGCGGCAGCACAGGTTGAGTGGGAAGGTGTGTCTGTCATCGCGCCAGTGGGATTCGAGTCTGAGGCGCTTTCAGAGACTGCAGGGGAAGGCGAATCTGAGCGATTGGCTGAGCGTGTGAGTGAGATGGAGACGGAATATGCTGAATTAGTTGGTGAAGGCGTAGTTGATGAGAGGGAAGCGGAGGCGGCAGCGGAGGCGGAAGTGGCAGCGGAGGCGGAAGTGGCAGCGGCAGCAGCATCGTCAGCGGAAGTGGAAGTGGAAGTGGAAGCTGAGTCGGCTGTGCAAGTGTCAGGTGAATCATTGGGGCAAGTTGAATGGGAAGCAGAAAGTGAAGCGGCAGCACAGGTTGAGTGGGAAGGTGTGTCTGTCATCGCGCCAGTGGGATTCGAGTCTGAGGCGCTTTCAGAGACTGCAGGGGAAGGCGAATCTGAGCGATTGGCTGAGCGTGTGAGTGAGATGGAGACGGAATATGCTGAATTAGTTGGTGAAGGCGTAGTTGATGAGAGGGAAGCGGAGGCGGCAGCGGAGGCGGAAGTGGCAGCGGCAGCAGCATCGTCAGCGGAAGTGGAAGTGGAAGTGGAAGCTGAGTCGGCTGTGCAAGTGTCAGGTGAATCATTGGGGCAAGTTGAATGGGAAGCAGAAAGTGAAGCGGCAGCACAGGTTGAGTGGGAAGGTGTGTCTGTCATCGCGCCAGTGGGATTCGAGTCTGAGGCGCTTTCAGAGACTGCAGGGGAAGGCGAATCTGAGCGATTGGCTGAGCGTGTGAGTGAGATGGAGACGGAATATGCTGAATTAGTTGGTGAAGGCGTAGTTGACGAGAGGAAAGCGGAAGTCGAAGCGGCAGATGCAGCAGCATCGTCAGCGGAAGTGGAAGTGGAAGTGGAAGCTGAGTCGGCTGTGCAAGTGTCAGGTGAATCATTGGGGCAAGTTGAATGGGAAGCAGAAAGTGAAGCGGCAGCACAGGTTGAGTGGGAAGGTGTGTCTGTCATCGCGCCAGTGGGATTCGAGTCTGAGGCGCTTTCAGAGACTGCAGGGGAAGGCGAATCTGAGCGATTGGCTGAGCGTGTGAGTGAGATGGAGACGGAATATGCTGAATTAGTTGGTGAAGGCGTAGTTGATGAGAGGGAAGCGGAGGCGGCAGCGGAGGCGGAAGTGGCAGCGGCAGCAGCATCGTCAGCGGAAGTGGAAGTGGAAGTGGAAGCTGAGTCGGCTGTGCAAGTGTCAGGTGAATCATTGGGGCAAGTTGAATGGGAAGCAGAAAGTGAAGCGGCAGCACAGGTTGAGTGGGAAGGTGTGTCTGTCATCGCGCCAGTGGGATTCGAGTCTGAGGCGCTTTCAGAGACTGCAGGGGAAGGCGAATCTGAGCGATTGGCTGAGCGTGTGAGTGAGATGGAGACGGAATATGCTGAATTAGTTGGTGAAGGCGTAGTTGATGAGAGGGAAGCGGAGGCGGCAGCGGAGGCGGAAGTGGCAGCGGCAGCAGCATCGTCAGCGGAAGTGGAAGTGGAAGTGGAAGCTGAGTCGGCTGTGCAAGTGTCAGGTGAATCATTGGGGCAAGTTGAATGGGAAGCAGAAAGTGAAGCGGCAGCACAGGTTGAGTGGGAAGGTGTGTCTGTCATCGCGCCAGTGGGATTCGAGTCTGAGGCGCTTTCAGAGACTGCAGGGGAAGGCGAATCTGAGCGATTGGCTGAGCGTGTGAGTGAGATGGAGACGGAATATGCTGAATTAGTTGGTGAAGGCGTAGTTGATGAGAGGGAAGCGGAGGCGGCAGCGGAGGCGGAAGTGGCAGCGGCAGCAGCATCGTCAGCGGAAGTGGAAGTGGAAGTGGAAGCTGAGTCGGCTGTGCAAGTGTCAGGTGAATCATTGGGGCAAGTTGAATGGGAAGCAGAAAGTGAAGCGGCAGCACAGGTTGAGTGGGAAGGTGTGTCTGTCATCGCGCCAGTGGGATTCGAGTCTGAGGCGCTTTCAGAGACTGCAGGGGAAGGCGAATCTGAGCGATTGGCTGAGCGTGTGAGTGAGATGGAGACGGAATATGCTGAATTAGTTGGTGAAGGCGTAGTTGATGAGAGGGAAGCGGAGGCGGCAGCGGAGGCGGAAGTGGCAGCGGCAGCAGCATCGTCAGCGGAAGTGGAAGTGGAAGTGGAAGCTGAGTCGGCTGTGCAAGTGTCAGGTGAATCATTGGGGCAAGTTGAATGGGAAGCAGAAAGTGAAGCGGCAGCACAGGTTGAGTGGGAAGGTGTGTCTGTCATCGCGCCAGTGGGATTCGAGTCTGAGGCGCTTTCAGAGACTGCAGGGGAAGGCGAATCTGAGCGATTGGCTGAGCGTGTGAGTGAGATGGAGACGGAATATGCTGAATTAGTTGGTGAAGGCGTAGTTGATGAGAGGGAAGCGGAGGCGGCAGCGGAGGCGGAAGTGGCAGCGGCAGCAGCATCGTCAGCGGAAGTGGAAGTGGAAGTGGAAGCTGAGTCGGCTGTGCAAGTGTCAGGTGAATCATTGGGGCAAGTTGAATGGGAAGCAGAAAGTGAAGCGGCAGCACAGGTTGAGTGGGAAGGTGTGTCTGTCATCGCGCCAGTGGGATTCGAGTCTGAGGCGCTTTCAGAGACTGCAGGGGAAGGCGAATCTGAGCGATTGGCTGAGCGTGTGAGTGAGATGGAGACGGAATATGCTGAATTAGTTGGTGAAGGCGTAGTTGATGAGAGGGAAGCGGAGGCGGCAGCGGAGGCGGAAGTGGCAGCGGCAGCAGCATCGTCAGCGGAAGTGGAAGTGGAAGTGGAAGCTGAGTCGGCTGTGCAAGTGTCAGGTGAATCATTGGGGCAAGTTGAATGGGAAGCAGAAAGTGAAGCGGCAGCACAGGTTGAGTGGGAAGGTGTGTCTGTCATCGCGCCAGTGGGATTCGAGTCTGAGGCGCTTTCAGAGACTGCAGGGGAAGGCGAATCTGAGCGATTGGCTGAGCGTGTGAGTGAGATGGAGACGGAATATGCTGAATTAGTTGGTGAAGGCGTAGTTGATGAGAGGGAAGCGGAGGCGGCAGCGGAGGCGGAAGTGGCAGCGGCAGCAGCATCGTCAGCGGAAGTGGAAGTGGAAGTGGAAGCTGAGTCGGCTGTGCAAGTGTCAGGTGAATCATTGGGGCAAGTTGAATGGGAAGCAGAAAGTGAAGCGGCAGCACAGGTTGAGTGGGAAGGTGTGTCTGTCATCGCGCCAGTGGGATTCGAGTCTGAGGCGCTTTCAGAGACTGCAGGGGAAGGCGAATCTGAGCGATTGGCTGAGCGTGTGAGTGAGATGGAGACGGAATATGCTGAATTAGTTGGTGAAGGCGTAGTTGATGAGAGGGAAGCGGAGGCGGCAGCGGAGGCGGAAGTGGCAGCGGCAGCAGCATCGTCAGCGGAAGTGGAAGTGGAAGTGGAAGCTGAGTCGGCTGTGCAAGTGTCAGGTGAATCATTGGGGCAAGTTGAATGGGAAGCAGAAAGTGAAGCGGCAGCACAGGTTGAGTGGGAAGGTGTGTCTGTCATCGCGCCAGTGGGATTCGAGTCTGAGGCGCTTTCAGAGACTGCAGGGGAAGGCGAATCTGAGCGATTGGCTGAGCGTGTGAGTGAGATGGAGACGGAATATGCTGAATTAGTTGGTGAAGGCGTAGTTGATGAGAGGGAAGCGGAGGCGGCAGCGGAGGCGGAAGTGGCAGCGGCAGCAGCATCGTCAGCGGAAGTGGAAGTGGAAGTGGAAGCTGAGTCGGCTGTGCAAGTGTCAGGTGAATCATTGGGGCAAGTTGAATGGGAAGCAGAAAGTGAAGCGGCAGCACAGGTTGAGTGGGAAGGTGTGTCTGTCATCGCGCCAGTGGGATTCGAGTCTGAGGCGCTTTCAGAGACTGCAGGGGAAGGCGAATCTGAGCGATTGGCTGAGCGTGTGAGTGAGATGGAGACGGAATATGCTGAATTAGTTGGTGAAGGCGTAGTTGACGAGAGGGAAGCGGAAGTGGAAGCGGGGGCGGAAGTGGCAGCGGCAGCAGCATCGTCAGCGGAAGTGGAAGTGGAAGTGGAAGCTGAGTCGGCTGTGCAAGTGTCAGGTGAATCATTGGGGCAAGTTGAATGGGAAGCAGAAAGTGAAGCGGCAGCACAGGTTGAGTGGGAAGGTGTGTCTGTCATCGCGCCAGTGGGATTCGAGTCTGAGGCGCTTTCAGAGACTGCAGGGGAAGGCGAATCTGAGCGATTGGCTGAGCGTGTGAGTGAGATGGAGACGGAATATGCTGAATTAGTTGGTGAAGGCGTAGTTGATGAGAGGGAAGCGGAGGCGGCAGCGGAGGCGGAAGTGGCAGCGGCAGCAGCATCGTCAGCGGAAGTGGAAGTGGAAGCTGAGTCGGCTGTGCAAGTGTCAGGTGAATCATTGGGGCAAGTTGAATGGGAAGCAGAAAGTGAAGCGGCAGCACAGGTTGAGTGGGAAGGTGTGTCTGTCATCGCGCCAGTGGGATTCGAGTCTGAGGCGCTTTCAGAGACTGCAGGGGAAGGCGAATCTGAGCGATTGGCTGAGCGTGTGAGTGAGATGGAGACGGAATATGCTGAATTAGTTGGTGAAGGCGTAGTTGATGAGAGGGAAGCGGAGGCGGCAGCGGAGGCGGAAGTGGCAGCGGCAGCAGCATCGTCAGCGGAAGTGGAAGTGGAAGCTGAGTCGGCTGTGCAAGTGTCAGGTGAATCATTGGGGCAAGTTGAATGGGAAGCAGAAAGTGAAGCGGCAGCACAGGTTGAGTGGGAAGGTGTGTCTGTCATCGCGCCAGTGGGATTCGAGTCTGAGGCGCTTTCAGAGACTGCAGGGGAAGGCGAATCTGAGCGATTGGCTGAGCGTGTGAGTGAGATGGAGACGGAATATGCTGAATTAGTTGGTGAAGGCGTAGTTGATGAGAGGGAAGCGGAGGCGGCAGCGGAGGCGGAAGTGGCAGCGGCAGCAGCATCGTCAGCGGAAGTGGAAGTGGAAGTGGAAGCTGAGTCGGCTGTGCAAGTGTCAGGTGAATCATTGGGGCAAGTTGAATGGGAAGCAGAAAGTGAAGCGGCAGCACAGGTTGAGTGGGAAGGTGTGTCTGTCATCGCGCCAGTGGGATTCGAGTCTGAGGCGCTTTCAGAGACTGCAGGGGAAGGCGAATCTGAGCGATTGGCTGAGCGTGTGAGTGAGATGGAGACGGAATATGCTGAATTAGTTGGTGAAGGCGTAGTTGATGAGAGGGAAGCGGAGGCGGCAGCGGAGGCGGAAGTGGCAGCGGCAGCAGCATCGTCAGCGGAAGTGGAAGTGGAAGTGGAAGCTGAGTCGGCTGTGCAAGTGTCAGGTGAATCATTGGGGCAAGTTGAATGGGAAGCAGAAAGTGAAGCGGCAGCACAGGTTGAGTGGGAAGGTGTGTCTGTCATCGCGCCAGTGGGATTCGAGTCTGAGGCGCTTTCAGAGACTGCAGGGGAAGGCGAATCTGA